CAAACCTTGGACTTGGAAACCTCGCGATGGGATATCCGCACAGCTTTATACTGGGACTTGCTAATCAGGGACAGGAAGGAGGAGGTAAGTTCTGAGTTATAGTCTACAAGCAGCTATTACACTAAGAGAGAATCAGGCCAGTTTTTGCTTCTAGTAATAGTTTACCGAAACCATATTTCTTTCCGGATTTTCTGGAATTTTCTACCAAGACTTTCCATGCTGTCGGTGCAAATCTTATTTTTAAAACCTCGTTGGACGAGTCTACAAAACGAAGAAAACCCTGACTTCGTTTCTTCAAACTGGTACCTAAGCTGAGTAGCTATATTTAGTATTCTTTTCATAAGCTAAGTGCAAAACGTTGACTTCAACCACTTGCATAATTAAGGTTTAGTTCTGAGGTAAACGGTTTTGTTCATCTTTCATTACTGGTATTGTTTGCAAAAAAGGCTCTCGATAAGCTTGTTTTCAAGACTAATTTCAATTTAATGAAAAATTACTTTCTCCACAGCATCATCATCAACCCAGCCGCAGTTCATAACGATCCCGCTGTCGATGGCGATGGCAGCGGCTGCTGGCAATCCTTCTGGGTCGACTTCCACCAACGGCTGTCCAGTCAGCGCCTCTAGCGATGATAGCAGTGAACTGCAGGATTTGAGCACTGGTGCGCGGAAGTAACGGTTAGTATTTCGTTATTATGACTGTCATTTCAATGAAAATCATCATCATTACATTACATTAGCATCATCATCATTAAAAGTATCACCAAACTCACCATTATCTTAATGACTACCAGTAACGCAGTTTTTCATCGTAATCATCAGCAACTTCTTCATTGGCATTGTCCTTATCATCATCATCATCATTTTCAACATCATTATATAAAGTTCTATTAACGGCTGTCCAGTCCGTACTTCCAATGATAAGAGTAATAAGCTGCAGAACTAGAGCACTGGAGCGCAGAAGTAACAGTAATATGTTTGTCGTTATCAGTATTGTTATTACAAACATTGTCGTCATCAATAGCATCATCGTCATAGGCATTGTCTACATCTTTATCATCATCATTTAGACTTCCACCGACGGCTGTTCAGACAGCGCCTCTAGTGAGAACAGCAGCTAGTTCCAGGTTTCGATTTGACTTTGATTTTATTTGAGCACTGGCGCGCGGAAGTAACAGCGAGTTTCATCATTATTATCGTCATCATTGGCACCACCATTATCAATACTATCATCAGCATGAAGACTTTCACCAACATCTTTTTTTGTACAAAAATGAAAAGCTTTTGACTCTGTTAATATTTTTTTCATTTGCTGATAGTTTTTTTTTCATTATTTTGTAAATTGTTTTCTTTGATAATTTATATTATTCGTTTTGTTTCAGGTGACCGATTCGGGGAATAAAATTGTATCTTTACTCAATATCCTGCGAATTTAAGTTATTTATATCTTTACCAAAGTGTTACTTGGACTATTACTTCTTCTTATCATAAAATCTTATGTGTATAAAGGACCTGAGGGTATTCAAAATTTAAATAATTATCACCAACCGTAGCCCGCAAATGTAAATTCCTGATTTTTCATGGCATTTAAATTCTTTCAATTAATTTAAATTTGATATAATATTTTTTGAAGACTTGCGCTTTTCATAAGGGATAAAATCTCTTATTTTTTGTTTACTTTACTCTTTGCCAATAATGATATTTTGTAATCCTAGTATTAAACAAATACCATGTGAAATTAAATAACTTGAAAAAACATTGTAATTTATTGTATTAAATTAGATAGAGTATAAGTTTGTTTGTAATGAAAATAACATAAAACGTATTTTTGTACCAAAAATGTAAAATTTAACACAAACTAATACGAAGGTGCGAGGAGTAAAATTTTGAAGGAATAAAATAAAATCCATCAAAATGTGAACTTTTCGAACCAAAATATTATTCCTTGTACTGGGGTTCCTTCTTATAAAATGACGTAAGTGCATTTTATGTTATTTTTAGTTTAACTAGAATAATTTCAATATCATTTTCTTTCACTTTACATTTATTTAGATAAAGTCGGTACCAATGAAACAACCAGGGGGCGCCACTGAGACCAGAACCTATTTCGTATAAGATAAAAAATTTAACAACATATTCCGCAAAAAATAGTTTTGTCTTGGCCTTTCCAAGCAAAAGCAGAAGATTTTAGCAGTGAAACGGCGATCTTCAAAAATCAGCCTGCTAAAGCATTATCTTTCCGCTATATTGCGCCCTCTGGTAAGCAAAATATTACTAGCCCTTATTGTCGAAGCATTTATAATTATAATAACATAAGTTACTTAGTTGTCAGGTTGTCAGTATTGTTATAACTACAACTGTACATCGGAACGAAGTTAATACTTAACCATTGTTTTACTTTTAATAAATAAATGTTCCTCTCGTTTCAATTTTTTTGTAATAAAATGAATAAATAATAAAAAAGTTGTTTGATTTTATTTTTACAATAAGTTGAACAGGCATTCTCTTCTTATTTGGTCTATTTCTTAAATTGTTTTTATGCGATCCAGCAAAAATTTGATGTAGAGTATTAATTCGTAATTTTTCTTTGTACTTAGTATATCGCTTTTGTTATGTTGTCATTATTGTTTTTTTTAATAAATAATCCTTTTTCTTTATTCATTCAATTTGACATGGTTGGTTAAAATACTCCCTGTAATTTATTGGCAATCAACTTATTGCACTTTTTAAATACAATCAATAGGCCATCCATATTGATTATGTAGCATAACTCGATGGTGACATTGAATTCGAAATTCAATTTTAATTAGCTACTGTTATTGGTGAGTTGTCAGCCAATCAAGTGGGTTGAGTCGTAATTAACTTTTAATATTGACAGCTAATAAAAATAATAAAAGTTCGCGACGAAATGAGAATCTCGTCCTCTTTTGTGTTTTCGTCGGTTAAAGTTGTTGGTAGGTAGAGCTGTCACGTAAAATTCAGTCAAAGATTCTTTCCTTATGTTGACGATTTTCTGCTAGAACACTGAATTTGCGTAATATTATTATAAGGTTTGTATTATAAGGAGCATCTTCCTTCACCCAGAAAAATGTTGTAAGTATAACGAGTGTAAGGGGCAGCGCTCCGAATACTGATAGGGTTCACTTATACCATGAAACTGAACAACTTCCTGTAAGTAATTATTTCAGGAGACGTAAAATGTTGACTTCCCATAACTGCAGTTAACTTATTGTAATTTTGTATGGGGGCAAAAAATATGTTACGTCTCTTGAAGTAATCTTACAGGAAGTTGTTCAGTTTAATGCACCCTACAAGTTTTCGGGGAGCTGTCCTTTACATCCCGTACAGATATAGTAAAAAGAAACCAAAATAGCTTAAACCTGAAGACATAAATCACTTTCAACAATATCAATATTGTCGTATCTGAAATTGTCGTCGTTCCGTCTTGTACCCTTCGTGCCCGTTGGTGCCACAATCGCTAAGAAGAAGAAAATGTTTCAGCGTAAACCGTAGCCGGAAAACCAGAAAGAAACCGTGAAAATCTCATTGCATTTGCACACAAAACAACTGTATGCAAAGGAACAAAAAAAAACTGAGGCCTTGCTATTAAGTACAACAACTAAAGGCGTAAATTTGGGTATGATTATTGTGATAGAGAATAGGTACATCGTGTAATTTTTTTGACTGAGTTTAGTTTCAGAATGCACCAAGTCTCATCACGTCACGAGATTGTCATGGTAAAATTCTTGTTGCTCATAGTGTTACCGTTGCCTACCTCTGAAATATTTTCTAGCTCTGAGCATCTTCCCGAACCAAACGGCTTCTAGAGATCCAGATGGATTCGAAATTCAAATTATGACAATTAGTCGAAAGGCCAAATTGTTTATCTCGAATGCCAAAGAGGATTGTGCTTTTGTCAAGGCTTTTGTCTAAGGATTAGCAGAAGATTGGCCTAATTTTGTTTATTTTGTAAGCTCTGTACAAGCTTTGTGCAAAATTGATTTAAAAATACTTATATTTGTGACATCCAAAAAATATCTTTTGGTCTTGTGATGTAAAAAAATATTGAAATTGGTTAACAGTTAAAAGAATAAGAATCTAAAGAAGTACCTTTTATTTAATCTCTTGTGTTTGTTACAATTTTAGTTCATACCGTTGATTCTTTGAGATCCAAAAGTTGTAACTTTGTCGCACTGCAAAGATAGCCCTTTTATCAATACCTACATACCTACACATCTATCTAGGCCCTATACACTGTGTTCTGGAGGAAATACATTAAATTGTATACGTTTTATCGGGCATCGGAGAGTAATGAACAATTTTCTCTATGGGACCAATGTTTAAAAACGATAATTTTCTTTCGACTTCCGATACAAAATTCACGATCAGCTGACTTAGGATGGCAGGTTAAATTTTTTTTCTCGTTTCTTAGCATTGGTCCCGTACTGAAAATTGTTCATTACAATGCCCTAAACAACGTAACCAAGTTAATGCATTTTCCCAGGAACACGGTGTATAAATTATAAGTAGGTATAGGTCCTGGAAGTAATTTTACGGATTTTCTACCTGGAGTCATCGATAAACGTGTAATATAAGTACTAATTCACGACAGTAACATACTTATTCTCATGGCATCACCACGGGCGGTAACCTAGGTGCAATTCAATACATAATGTATTAACGTATGTACAGAATTAGCTTTGCAAAGCGCAGTGAGTGACAACCGATGACGATAGCCTTAAGTACATTCGAACAGACAACCCGTCAGACGAAATGTTGTATTGTACAACACTGGAGGAGGTAGAAATAAGTAGTGTTTAGAAGGACCCCTTTTGCAGAATAAATATTGAAAAAACTGCAATCAGGGACAACAAGTAGGTGATTGAAAAGCACAAGGTGTCTACCAAAAATCTTAATAGATAGAAGTTCATATTAAAGCCTACATTAAGATCCCCTGGTAAAAGTTATATCATTGTTTCTGGGCACACTTCCAATATTTTCTACCGCAGGCAGGATTTGAACCTGCGACTTTCGGCATCTGTACTCCCAACGCTACTACCAACTAGGCTACTGCGGCGCAATCTCAGCCGGCGAAATAATGCATGTGTATCTAGGTCACTAACACGTGGCAGCTAGGGCTCTACCGGGACAGGTTTGCAATTGTTTCTTATTACCAGATTGTTCTAAGTTAGTATCGATCGATATTAATTGTCGTGTTTCAGCGCATATCAAATCTAGAGGCGAATTTTTATTTGCGTCACCCTGGTTGCTCCTAGGGTTTCCTCTAAACATTATTCTTCTTCACTCTGAGATTCCAAGCATGTCCGTAGTTTTGCTTACAACGACCTTACAAGTTACAAATACGTTACAATTTATGACATTCCATTCCACATGACATGCCTTTTGAGTGTATGCCCTTTTTTTATGTCAGTTGTATCCACAATACAATCTAACTACATTTCAGTTCGCATTGCTGCATATTGTTATGCTATTTCAGTACTGGCAGCCGATGTGGCGCAGCGGTTAGTGCGACTGCCTGCGAAGCAGAAAGTTCCGGGTTCGATTCTCGGTGGGTCACTCATTAAGATGATATTATCAATTTATGAATTCGATCCTAGTCTGCTGAAGATTGTCCTAAAAGAAAGATGGTTCTGTACTTCGGTACGTTAAGTCGTCGGTCCCGGTTGATGTCTATAATTACTTAGACGGCGTTACGTAACGATGTCAGAAGCATACTAGCAGTTGTAGATAGTTGAAAAACTCTGAGACCAGGGTTTATAAGGTCGTTTGTAGACTCGGTGTCCCACTAGAAATTAAAAAGTACCGACACAGTAATAGTGGTGATCAATGACTAGTTCTTCTATGATGTGTGTACAATAATAATGCATTTACTTATGCAGATTACGGAACTGCGGAATTCTGTAGGTATAATAAGTATTTGGTTTCAGCAAAAGGCTTCTTCAAGAGCTGTTTGCGTATCAAGGATATTTTGGTACACCTACCTACTTTATGGGTTTTTAGAAAAGACTACGCGGTAGCCGGAATGGCGAAAGCTGCAATCCTGCCTGCGATAGAAAATTATGTAAGTTTTCTAAGAACTGTAACGCGGGAAGTGTTTGAAGAACTGTAACGCGCGAATATTTTGTTAAGTACTCAAATAAAATAATACTTAAATTATACGCGCAAGTAGTTAATGTTATACCTAACAACAATTTTGCTAATAGCACACCCTTGTCGTCCTTTTATCCAAGCGTTCTTACAAAGGAAATTAAAATATTTTCCATTCTCAGACCATTAAATCTCTTAGTACTATCAGCAGCATCTCAACTTATCCCTAAGATAATTACTTTACGTGCTGGATTTTCAAACTGTTATTAAGTTTAGGAAATGTAGTTTGACTTGATGAATGTTAAAAGGTTATATTGTGCTCATCATCTGTTCTATTATACCCTCATATTATTTTGTTCTATTGTGCTCTCGATAATCGGGCAAATTTATACTTATTTTCTAAGTTTAAATGCTTTCTACTTGATGTAGCTTTGAGACATGCATCAAGAGGTTGAAAGATTCGTTAGATTACTCAGTTGGCAAAGCGGTAGGACGGTACCCTCGGTCAATATTTGAACATTTCTTATTTTCATTTATATAACAGTGTATATTGTTCGACCCTTTAGATGTGTGATTCGAGTAGCTTGCTGCTGCAGTTATCCTGTAGGTACCTATTTATATCTTAGCACAAGGATATCAACTGCGTACACCATGTTAAATAGATAGTTAGTCGGATCCCTGCTGAGGTCGTGATGGTTAAGCTACATTGCTGACATAAATGCATGTAAACGACTTTGTTTAGGGAAGTGTTTAGTTTTATTTATCTTCTTAGTCTATCGGTCTAAGGCGAGATGTAAGACTTGAGATGGAAATGTGAGACAGGCGACATGGCGACGCTTGAAACCTTTTTCATATAAAATGTATGAAACATAAGTGACGTCATCTACCTACAAACGCGCGTCGCATCGATGACGGCTGACGATCACTTGTCTGACAGATGCCATCTTTCGTCGTACGTCTCATCTGTGAAGATAGTCCTTTAGGTTTTGATTTGATTATCGAATGATGAATGTAGGTGGCCAGGTGGACCGTTCGATGATGGTTTAAAGGAGGCGGTTGGCAGTGACTGGATGGCGAAAACAGGAGATCGTGCCTTTTGACATACCCTGGGTGGGGTAGGCAACAGTCTAGCTGTGGATTGACTGTAGGTTCACCATAAAGTGGTGTTCCGTCTATCTTTGCATAACATGTAACTAAAAAACAAAAAAATCTGTTAAGTTCATAAGTTGCAATAGTTTTTCCTTCTCAGATACTTATCTTCTTTTCTCCATATTTGTGGTTTGATAAACTATTCCTTTGAAATTGTTCATAATTTTTCTACATCCTGTATAATTTTCCCTACCAATAGGTATTGTAAGAAAAACATCAATTAACAATGCAGACAATGGCTGATGGTCCTACATAAATATTTGCCCGTCAGTTCTATGGGCACTTATTTTAATAACCCACCATTTTGGGCGCAAGCGTCATTTCAGGGTAGGGTGACCATGATATAAAAAATGGGACACCCTATGGTATTTGTATATCCATCAAATTTCGTTCATGATATATAGGTAGGGGTCCATGTTTATCCTCAGAATGTAGGGGTCCCAGTCCCCATAGCATGCGACGACGACATAGATTTTCTCTACACCGGTATGTCAAAATTCTTCACTTGTAGGTACCTACAGATAAATTACATACTTTATACCCCGTGAGAGTAGAATAAGATAAAACTAGTACCTATACAAACGTACTTACCCGTAAAGTTTTTTGTTACAATTTTTCGCTTCAGCGTTTGTTTTTTCCGACTCACCCCAAAATTGGATGTTCCTATCCCGACAGCCACAAGATTTATTCACCGACGTTATATCACCACATACTTTATAACTTTCACGAGGTATGTCTTTATATCTCCCTGCTAGTAAAGCTTTCTTTTCTTTTCGCGGCATTTTTATGACAAATTAGGCCTTTCGCACACGCAACGTCGGTTTCGACGTTATTTTAGCGCTGCGATGCGCAGCGTTAGAAAAATGCGAATTTCCACCTTAATCCCATATAAATACGACGACGCAGGCCCAACGCTGCGTTGCGGACCCTAATGTCAAACGGTATTGACAGACGCATCCGTCGACGCTAAAAATGCGCAGCGTTGTGCGTTGCGCTAAAATAACGCAGGGTATGGCACACGTAACGCAGCAACGGACGTTAGATTTTTGACGGTTTATTAACCCTTAGCTGAGCCTGATACTTGGAATAATTAGGACATTTTCTGTGTATATTCAGTGGGTAGATTTAGTCGGCGACGGAATTTCCGCTGAAGTGTGTCATCTCTAATGCAAATAACATTGCTGGCGTAATGGCGCCGAATTTCATAGCATAGGTCCGGTCGTAGAGTATTTAATTATATTTAAATTGTATGGTATTTTTTTTTATTTATAATAGTTATGTTGGGTAATTAGTAGTACGAGTGAAAGATTATTTCTCTTTTCAAGACAGGTTTTAATCACTAATTTTCAACAGCACTACCAAGGGTTAATAATCGAAACCGACACTATAATAGAGTACATTGCAATATAATTTGCAACAATGTATTACAATTCCATACAATATGAAACAGTGAGGCGCAATATCAATCTCAATATCATTCATAAGTAAAAAATATACGTCTCATTCATTGTACAATGGTATTACAACAGAAGTTGTCACCATCAGAAGTCTGTAATAAATTTGAAATTAAACTTGGCGTTCAACAAATCTCAGCACTGAGCCAATCGTCTTACTAGCCGCGGCTGTCAGAAGTCCGTGCCGTGGAAAATACTGTATGCAGATGATGTTTCAGTTATGACTCTGTAGAAGACCTGCAGGGCGAATTCGACCGTGTTGGTTGAAGTTTCTATAAGACATGGGTCTCAAGATTAAATGCAAGAAAACGGAGCATATGTCGTATACTTATGTCAATATATTCATGAAAACATTTAGTATGTAAGAAAAAATATCGTTACCGGAAAGCGAAAACTTCTAAAGCGCCACAGTACTAACTTTACACTAGACCGTTTCAAAAGTTTAAAAAATTCGCAACTCAGTGAAACTAATTAATAATAACTTGAAAAAATAAACTAGGATTCAAATATTTTTTGTTCAATTTTAGACGTTGCTACCACGTTTGTTCGAGCTATAGTTTTTAAAGTAGATGTCGCTTTAGAAAAAATAATTCCTAATTTGCTATAAAACTGATAAGCAAAATATTCTAAGAAGTGTATTGATTAACAAAAGCAATATTGATTTTTTTCTTAAGTGATGTAAGTAAATCTAAAACTGTACACGAAAACAACTTAAGCTCCTTAGAGGCTAACAAATTAGGAAGGAAGAAAGTATTAACCGAGCAACATTTTTATATGCTTTGTGAGATTATTTACTTATGAATAATACAAGTTAAAAGGCTATAGGACAAAAACATCTTACGACTTGTGAAAATGTAAAACACAGTGAACAAAATATTCTAGGCTGTATGTATTTTTGTAGAACTATTTTTTTGTAGTTACTAAACAACTAAAACGGATCAGATGGTTCAACTCCGTTTTCAAAAAGGCAGCTATGGCAGCGGCCAGTTTAACTTACGAAGCTTATTTTATTACAGCAGATACATATTTTAACATCAAAAATATTACCACCGGAAAACCATGTGAATGTGACTTCTCGAGAGATCGTTAGCTCAATCCAAATTGAAAATCGAAATCGTGACGTCACGGCAATGACGCCGCATGAAGTCGTGGGTGTGCATCCAGCCAGGATTAAACCAAGAAGGATGCACACCACACTACCCCCCACGAAGAAAAGAAAACTTGGTTGCACACCTTCAAGCGCTAAATTATAAATCGAATGGTTGATGGCAAAACGTACTCTTCTGCCCGAACGAATAATTTAAAATCGAGGCGAGCTAAATTTGATGGATCTACAAAATGAGAATGAGACTGAGTAACTAATGGA